AAAAAAAAAAAAAAAAAAGGAAAAAAAGAAATGATAAATGCATGAGGTGACTGATGTATTAATTATACTGACCCAATTATTATACAACATATATGTATCTAAATATCAGATTGCCCATAAGTATGTACAAATACAAAGTGTAAATTTAAATAAATAAATGAATAAATGAATGAATGAATGAATAGATAAATAAATAAATAGATAAACAAACAAATGAACAAATAAATAAATAAATAAATGGTAGTAGTATGCAAAAGATGTAAAGCTTAAACTTCCACTTAGCTAAAATAGAGTTAATAGTTTTTTCTCAATTATCAGATATTGTGAAAGTCATGAAATCCAAATTCCATCCGGTGTTAGGACACCTGAGAGATCATTTTCAAACTTTGGCTAAGTATGAGCCACATGCTTTCAATAATAAACTTATATTTCTATTTAATATTATCACCTGAAAACTTTCTAACTGAAGTGAAAGTAGTAAATATCATTTGTTAATATCTCTCTTCCAACCTCTCCCCTCTCCTTCTAGTACTACCACTACCTCTATTACTATTCTACTCCTCCTAATAAATATTTAACCAACATAATGCATACTACTGGCCAACAGATTGGGATAATTTACTCATCAGCTGAAGGTGTAGAGGTTTTATTTTGATTTAGCATTTGTAGCCTCCAAAAAACTTAGGATTTTGAAGCATGTTATGTATGTGAAGTCAGCTCTGATTTTAGTAATAGCCACATAGTTTATATGTTCTACATTTGTCATCCCATTTATTCTTCACCAAAGATCTGTAAGGTGTGAGTCTTATCTACATTTTATAAAAGAGAGGACTAAGATTTAGAAAGTCTAAGAAAATNTTGGATCCATTTCAATTTTATTAGAGTGCCCAGATAAAACCTGAGAATATTTGTAGCTCTCAAAGTGTAAAGGTAGTGGTCAGAGTTTGTGATTGTTATTAGAAACAAATACAATTCAAGGATAAACCATTGACAATTGAAAAAAGGTTAAGAGATTATAAATGTACATTTTCATGAATGCAGCCACTAATTTTTTTGCCCACTGGGGGAAAAAAACGAAAGATTTTCTAGACATTCTCTGGTAATGCAGCTTTCAGTAAAATGACATTAAAATTCTAATTCCATATTGCTTGTTCTTTTACATTGAAGCAGATGTCAGTTTCATATGGATTCTGAATAACATCCAATCTGTTCTTCAAATATAAATGTAATCACTGGTCAATAGTTGGGATAATTTATACATCTGCTGAAATCGTGGAGGTCTTATTAATTATTTTGACTTAGATTTTGTTCCCTTTGGAAAACTGAGAATTTAGTATCATATTACTTTGAGTGAAGTAATCCCTAATCCCAATAATAGCTATGTGTGCTGAGTAGCCTAGGTGAGTATGGTCTGCACTGTTATTACTCATAAGTCCCATTAGAAGGTTGAAGTACAAAAAAGGGATTGCCTTTATGTAAGGAAGACTTTGTGCACCTATGTCATATACAGTTTGTGAAAGGCAATAGCT